TTCTTTGGCCGCCTAGTTTAAACAGGCAATCCGGCGTAGATCCCGCTACTCTTTTGCGTGCATACTTCTCATTCAATACAACATCCTGGTTTATTCCATAAATAATGTCTTCATTCTAACTCGCTTTCAGTTGGAATTGCATGGTTGGCGGCATCCGGTTTCGGATTTGCCTGTCACTGTGGCCAGACACAGGACGCCCGCGCCTACAGAGGGACCATGGATGGCTTGCGCTGCACCACCCACAGCTCCAACCACACACCCCATATCCAGTGTAAACCCGAAGGAATAAGACCGGGAGGCATGTGGATGGGAGCCACGTTCCATCAACGGAGCCGGCCCACACTCCTTCACAGGCAAACACAAGCACGCTGTATTTGGGAAATCAAGCGCACACAAGGCGGTGGCTAGACCGTAGTCCGCTCCACACTGAGTGCATGGAACCACTCTTCGAGCCTAGCACGGCCACAAGGATCGTGCACCCCGTCCCCTCCAGCAACGACCAACTGTCTCCTGGAGCCAGTATGGACGAGGTAGTGGGTAATAGACAGGTAGGCACCTTGTCAACGTACACATCAAGCGCAGCCACACCTGGGATATCAAGCAACAGCCAATCACCTTGAACGACAGGATGAAATAAAACAAATCCAATAATGCATACAGATACGGTGGCATAACTCTAAGCTAAATAAGCATATGAAGTAAGTTGGTTAGCAACAAATCCGCGATAAAGAAAAAATGTCCACAAGTTAGTTAAAAATGATACAAAACGCAACAGAGTTACCGAAGGTAAGCGCAATTAATGTAAGCAACATGGCCAGTTAATAGAAGAGTATTCAGGTAGGCAGAACAAACCAAATAAAGTGGAATGAAATTTAGCCAGCTTAAAAAGACCTAGTTTAAGTGTAAGTTGGAATTGCATAACGAATTATTTAAACCCAGTCAGTTATCCAGCAAACTTTTGAGCTTGGGATACAGAGTAATGCGTTAAAACTGGTACTGCTTAACGTCATTTTCATGTGCTTGGGGAATGCTTATGGGCCTTTTGTCTGCTTCACTTCCGTTCGATCTAATGTTTGGCGCGTATCCCCAACAAACGCTTTGTCGGCAGGCTAGCAGTTGGCTACCACCAGAGAATTCCACACGAGTGCACTCACTGCTGACATGGTGTACTCGCATTTAGTTCGCTTGCGAGATATCACTCCGTTAAGAGTAACACCTATAGTCTTTGAGTAGTTAAGCAGAGTAGCGTTCAGTGTTGTCGCACATTCGCTCACTTGTGTGCCTTTACGATGACAGAAACGTGGTACATGGTTACCTACACATTTAGTTCAATAAATTCAAACAGTATGACCTAATGAAGCCACGGTGGTCTATGGAGAAAGTGCAGTCATGTTTTACCCGTCCGGATATTATCTGCGTAATGTGCTCAGTTTGTGAAAATATGCATCAACTTCCCTTAGGCTAACATCCCAAAAGAAGGACTGAAACCGAAACTGTTCGATTAAATAAAAGCCAAAACATTTAAATACAGCATCAACAGAATCCTGCTTACACTGAGCTGACTTGCTTGAATCATATTGAATGTAGTTGCTTGAGAGACAAAGCGCAAAGCCAAATACTATATAAATTTTTATCGATTTCTCAAGCGATATAATGCACTCCATACCCCAAAAATATGCAACCGTTCGGATATCTATAAAGTACCTCAATCCGAATTAGTCTCATTATTATCGGTCACTATGAAAAGGATCCAATTGGTCATCGTAGCATACTGGTTATGCAAATATGACCTGTTCACAAACCGCCTCATTGGCCAGAAGGCCGACGCTAATTGTACGTACAGCTGAAGCTAACACCATTTCTGATTAAACTTTCCGGTTCGCTTGCATGGATAATGGATATACTGACTAATAATAAGCACAGGCAGAAGATAACCGTGAGGTGGTAAACACGTGTTGGTTCTTTTAACTGAAGCAGAACACAACGGATCACCCCGAATTCCCATGCATTTTCGGTACGATAAGGAACTGTCGTTAATAGAACAAGCCAGTGTCCGTTGATGGAACTGTCAACAGTAAAGTGACTCACTGCTGGCCACTTTACCATACGAAACCTTTGTCTTAAGTCGAGGGAAAGAAAAGGTGCCGTAAAAATTGCTTGACTGACAACTGAGAACCTACGAGCATTGATTGTTCCTTGTCAACACTGGGAGTGAATTCGCTGCCGTACCTAGCATTGCGCTTTAAAAATGTGCCCAACTCTAAACCATTATGCATCATTAAGCCGTGGCAGATGTGCTGTCGTTAGTTTGCAGTCGCCAGTTGCAAAGCCTTTTGAAGAGAGAATTAGAGATAAGATTCCCGATGCTCAATTTTATGGAGACCAACGGCTGATTATTCGAATAAAACGAATTAGCGCTTCGCTACCTTTTCTGCCTGGTTGTGCTGCAATTTGTCCATAAAAGTCTAATTGAGCGAGAACCAGCTGTTGAGGAAAAGTGAGTTCCTGTGTCACAGATGTCCGATGTGATCAACAAAACCCATGAATGGGAACGGTGCTCATTTTCAAGCGAATGCTTTCTTTAAATGCTGTACCGTGACGGAATGTAGCGTGGAAATTTTCCTCACTGCAAAGAAAAACGACGCACGAAAGCGCAGCGTGCTTAACCAGTAGATAATACATCGGACTCTTGGCACATTACCTTCAACCTTAACAACTCGCGAACTCTTTATGCTGTAAAGCAATCATGTATATGGGTTAATTGGTGATGTAGTAGCTATACGAAATATTGACCCGTATTAGCCTGATGAGAAATATGGAAAACAAATTTCTTCGCTGAGCTGTGTGTTGCTATCTCTATGGGCATATTTCACGAATTATAGGAAGTATGTTTGAAGATCGCGTAACCCTTGGCACCATGGCCCCGGTTAAAACAGCGCAGACTACGGTCGTTCGGATGACGGGAATCTATGCCAATAGTTGTCGGTTGTATAATATGTTTCTAGAATTATTGCGTGACCATGTGTGCAGTGTCTTAAATTTAAATCAACGAGGCTTGCGTACTGTAAACCCTGCTTTTGTCACTTTACGTTGGGTCAACAATTTGGTAGAACTGTCATACAGATTGTTCGTTAGAGGACTTGATTTTTTGCTATTTGCGGTTAATATTTCTTATCAAGATAAAAGCTATTGGGTCAGTTTGCCTGTGTCCATTAGGAATAGTCTTACTACAGAAGATAGGTCGACTTAGTTGATTTCTTGGCCAGTCAAGTCAAGCAATTGTTTTATACACTCTGGGCAGGGCAATATTTAGCTAAACAAGCGCAATCTCTGCAGTGTATCAAAAGACAAATCAATTTTAAAGTCGTACCAAAAGAAGCGGTTTACTAAAAGATAAACAAGAACACCATGATACCGCGGATCAGCAGGTTAGTTCTAGAACGATAGTGTTTAAGTCTACGGTAGCTAATGGATAACCTAGTAGCCGTAGGCTTATATGTGAGCATGAAGTTAACAAACATCCAGATGAAGCGCTATGAAATGGATGATTTGTTTTGCATAGGATCTTTTATGTCAGATTCTTTGCATAACTGATGTGCATTGGCAAGTTGACCGAAGTAGGCATCGCCACATCTTTTTCACGTGACAACTAACTTAAGGTGTCTATCCAGAAGACCAGGAAATAACACAGGAGAGTAGTACGTCCAATGCAGAAGAACCCATGCATTGACAAAATGGTGTATCTAATTACGAGGGAGAGAGAAAGATGCCGTTTACATAGATCGCCCAAGGTAGATTGTAGGTCAGTGGTACACAGGTTCTTCACTGACGTAGAAGAGTGTAATCCATTGCCGTCGATTTGAAGCTTGGGGCACTGCGTGAGGTGATACATGTATTTGGCTACTAGATGTAGCGAAAAACGCGCCTCATTCCACTTTGATGCGTTGAGACAGATTAGGAACTTTGGACCATCTATTGAGGTCATTCGGAATACCTTGTAACCATACTGAGCAATCGGTGTTTCGATTTTTGATAAGTAGGACGAGTTTGTCAGTATAAATTAGGACGTTTGCTTCTTCAGGACTGGTGTAGAAGAGCGATAATGTGACAGAATTGCTCCCTGAAGTACTAGAGTTGGCAATTAGTAGCATGCAGCATCTGCCATTGAGTCGGTCAATCTGAGTGGGTCCAGGAAAACTGTCATCACTACCACGATATTGCAGCATTCGCCTGACTGTTTCCAGCCTATCCTGATTGGTTATTCATTCGCCTAGCAATTATTGTTACGCATGGTGTTCCTTTTTCTTGATAAAATAGACGGACGAGTATCTTATTTGCGTTGCGCGGCATAAACCTGAAAACAGGTGTCATTTAGAGTCAATTTCGTCTTTATTCATCACCTTAGATGATGAGCTTCCATCTCCCAAAGTTTTCCTTGACAAGCCTCTCGCTCTATGGCTCCTTCACTAACTTGTGACCATCATCTAACACTTCCAGAGATATTTTAATTAAAGTTGAGTGGCAAATTGCTCTCTCGCCTAGTATATGTTTAAAGCACATCACCGTAACGTGAACCCCTATGGAGAAAAATCAGTTAGGTCTATAGGCGGTTATCAGCCGCTATCGCTTAATATTTAGAAATCACAACTCATCGGCATAACCAGATCACCATCTTGAGTATTAGTAGGGCGCAGTTAGTAGAATTTCGGCTCTGCGCGTGTGCGACAATCAGGTCTATTTTTTCTCCACCGTATGTTAATGTCTCAAATACCAACAAGTAACTGCGATGTTTTATACTGAAATGTCTTATACTCGCAAGTCGATACCATCACCAGGTTCGTCAGCAGCTGCCTAGATTATAAACCTCTACCCATTGGTTGCGCCACTAATAAACTCATTTGATCATAAGCTGAATGTTGAACCAACGTAATACTCGCCTCAGTAGCGGCTAAACACACAGTTTTAACAATTCATACGTCAAGTTGGAATTCAGCACTTACCCGATAATTAGGGGACTTGTCGAAAATCCTGCCATATTTCATGTCGCTCACGCGAAACCGTATGCAACAGGCTTACACAGGCTGTTAAGTAGTCGAAATTCAGTATCGATCTGCAACACGACCGTCTTCATCTAGCTACAGACATGTGAGCACGAGATGTTCTACTAAACATGAGTCCGCTGACGTGCAATCATGCACATAGTGTATTGTTCACAGAGTGTCATGATGCAGTTGGTGCAGTTCCGCTATGGATTCGCATACTGTGACATGTCCGCAAGCTCCGTCGAGAGTTGTGTTTTATCGATACATTAGATATTCTCAAATACGAAATCGTAGAGTCAACATACATGAATGCCTAGCGAAGAATAAATTTTTGGTATCCTTACAGTCAGCACAAATAAGCATGTAGAAGGACATAGATTTTCTCTCTTTGACTCGAGGTACGTATGCAAAGTGATTCCAAACTAACTAATTTTTTCGTGAGCCATCGGAATCTAATCTCCTCGCTTGACTTTGAGCTGTTCTGATGTTATTCCTGTGACCTGGCACATTGTTCGCACGGGTTCTTCGCATCTTGTCAATAAAGTTTGGAATACCCCGCGTTAATTAGCCGGGGTCCTGGGGGATGCTTAGACTATTTTTGTACCATTTCCCAGACACATTAAGCGATAGGGCATACAAATTCAGCCGAAAGGATTTCGACATAATCTAACGATCTTAAAAGTTCTCCCGCCCATGCGTCAACGATTGCTTTTGCGCTCATTGTCGCGTAACTCTCACATTGCCAATGCGCAGTCAGCCAGTAGGAGGTCGGATTTAGGTATAGAGGGAAATCCTATCACAAAGGGGGCGAAGAGATGCCGACCGCAAATGCTTTAGAACATACCATCCCCAGGGCGACGCTGGGTGGCAGGACGCGGGTGAGACTAGTGAAGTGTTGGGTCAGCAGAGGCGCAGCAGGATGACGTTGCGAAACTGTACAAGAAAGGGTCGGAGCATGCTCCAATTTATCTCCTTAACAAATACTCTTGGCGAAAAGAACTGATATTTGTTACGCATTCCATCACAGCCGAAAGCCAGTGTCACTGCACCTAAAGTTACTAGGTGCTTGCAGTGGCTTAGCAAATACTGTTGCCGCTGCTGACATCCAGTGCTAATCTGTCCAGCGCGGCTTGGCACGTCTGGGAGCTGTCACAGATGAGGGCAGTGTCGTCTGCATACTGCAAGTCAAGAAGTCGGTCTCCTGGGAGTAGCTCCACACCTTCCAAGTCATGTCCCGTAAATGCAATCTCCATGACTCCGTCAATAGCGAAGTTGAATAAGAAAGGTGACAGCGGGCATCCTTGTCTCGCACCGCTGGATAAATTGAAGGGTGGCGACAGGTTGCTGTGAGCTCTCACTCTGCCCGTTCTACGCGCATACAATGCGTGGATAATATTTACATATTTCTCGAGCTCAAGTATCCTGAGTAGACAATTCCAAAGGGCACATCGACCAAACGAATCGAAGGCACCTTTGATGTCGAGGAATACGACTACGGTGGGCCGCCAATATGTGTGACGGTGCTCCACTACTTCAATGACGATTGAAGGTAGTTCGTTATGAGCTTACATTTTGCGAACGCGTTCTCACAGCTGGTTATGTTAATAGTTCGGGTAAGCAATATGCGTAGCAGATTTCCCAAGAGATATTTCAGCAGGAGGCTTAAAATCTTAGTAAGTTCAGTAATGTAATGTTTCGATGAAGCTTTCACAAAATATCGCAATCTTCTTCTTTCGGCAAATATTCCGTTTTTCCTATATCTCCGTTGAATTTACTAAGCGAACAACCATGCTTAGTATTAGGCAGATTTAACGGTGTAAGAAAAGCAGTTTTGTTCGCATGGTCATAAATTTGCTGAAATCTTTGGCGTTTCATTAGTTAAAATATCTATGAGAGACAGAATTTTCCGTTTCAACTCTGCATGAAATCCCACCTATATATCCAACAATTGTCCACAGTCCATTCGTTTCTTTTGGCGATGCGACGCTTCATGCTTATTCCCAAATTGGCACGGTTTTTGGATTCATCCGTTGCGATATGCACCATTTTTGCTCTACTCTAAAGAAGGCAACTCTTAACGCCGTAAGATAGACAAAACTTAGTAGATCCGGCCCATTACTTTTGACGTACCTGTGTATCCTTGAATTCTATAAGAGCAGATCCCTAAATGCTAAGATACAAAAGAAACGGAAACGACTGTACTGAAATGAGAAGTAAAGATGCAGCTGATCTTGTGACTGCATTTTCTCCCTGTTCTGTGAAATATGTCATTGAAGTGACGAATTCCGAGTATTTCTTCACCACAATATTTATTGCACCTGCTTGGCTACTCCATCTATATTTTACAGGCATCTGATACTTACACCCATGCATTGAACCAAGGCCTTCAAGTAATAGTTAGATGAATAAAGGATGATAATAGCCGGTCCATCGTACAAACAATGTAACAGAATGAACAGTCGCGGAAGCTACATGGACACATAGAATGGTTTGTGCGTGACAAAGATGTAAACTTTGAGCAGATTTCACGGCTACGTTTCTAGACACCCATTCGTTGACGGGCCTTAACATCATCGTTGTCAAATGCTTGTTCACGACAGTTGTCAAAATGAATTCCATCCGATTCTCACAAAACAAGTGCAAAAATTTTCTCTGCTCTTTTTCTGTTGATCCCAGCGAAGCTGAGAAACAACTCCTCTATCCTTACTTCATTTTCATGCATCTGCTATTTGTGAGATACATCAGACGTGACATCGAAAATGTAGCAACCATAATTGCTTTCGTTGACCTGATCTAAGATTTTTCTTTCGCACCCGATTGTATCAAAGTGGGCACCAATTCATTGTGAATACTCTACGACGAGAAAGAAGTGCTGATTTGCCTTCACAGCTGAACTGTCGCCAAATGTTCGCAAAGAACAGGCTCACACTTGGCTGACAAATACACAATTGCTGAAATACTCCGTCTTTTATGGACTTTGTCACCTTGGATGTCTTCTCGGTGAAAACTCAGTGTCATGATTGCTTAGTGAGAACCGTGACGATACCAAGTATTTTAGCTAAATTTCAGCTCAATGAGTTGCTACCACTACTTGCTCCAGTTTCTCAAAGGTCCTTCCTTCAACTAGCCGGATCGCTACCTCTTTGCGTTTGAGGAATGACTGAGCACCCGATGTACTAAAATCGTGTTCACATGTTTTGGACTTATGTTCCACTTGTTGAAAAAGTAGATTATCCCATTGCAGAGATCCTGCAGCTGAAACTACACAGGGCCTATTTTGAAGGAGAACGCACTATGCGGGTCACAATCTTTGCTCAAAGTTTCACAAATCTTGAAAGTAACCAATTAGATTTTAGATTTTAAACCTTACACTTTGTATTCGTTCCAAGGTGCTTGCCGAGAAAACATTTGCATGCGATGGGCATATTACGCGCGCGGGCCAACAGGTGGAAAACCAGTGACACAATTAGTCGGTACGTCACAATTTGATATGATCAAACGGCTAACTCGTATGTAAACCCGTGCAGATAGGCGAAGTTACTGATGCGACGGCCGTAGCGTACGAAGTTTCATGACATGAAGAAATAGCGATTGGCTATGTACCGACCTGCGTTCTAAGACTTTACTGCGGCTAATAAGGTCTTAGTCTCAGTGCATGTTCCAGGGATAGCGCCTGTTGGTTTTCAAGCAAGGGTGACACTTACATTGAATAAGCGAGTCAAGTCAAAGCGAGAATGCGCTTCATTCACCCATGAGGGGTGAACTTACAGCTCTAATGATTTCGCACCACAATATATTTAGTTCTTAACAAGTCCCGTAATTGGTGAGTGTGTGAACCATAATTCCGCATGCACCCATGCCACGATGAACTGTTGATGTACTATCCTGTCTGCGCAATATGACGGCCAGCTGTCTTCTCTGGGCGTGTTTTTGGGTGCTCGCAGAGGCAAACAGTGAATGTGACCATAAATGGCTTACCATGACCAAATATGCTCTTAAACGATGTTTAACATCTTTAAAACCTCTGTTCATTGCCCATAATCTATTACCTTTTGTGAAACCCTAATTTCCTTAGGCGCACCTGAATGTTGGAACAGTTAAAGGGACCGAGTTGCATGCCCCCGGCCGTCGCAGTTGGACACACTCGGCCTCAAATTGTTGATAATGGTGCTTCAGTGCAAACGCATGGCGGAAGAAGCACTCAAAAATGGTCTCAAGCGTTGTAACAAGCTCCCATCAAAGAATCGCTTGAAGGAGTGTAAAATCACACACCAGTGCATTGAGGCAAAGTGAAATCGCTGAGGCTTATCAACTACGGCAGCAAACCTTTCTTTTGAGTCGTAAAGCTATGATGCAAGACAGCCTCCCCCAAAAGCAGTGACTTGCTTAATGATCACTTTAAACGGAACTTCATCACCTGAGCTTCGTATCAGCCGACATACAGAAGCTTAAGGTGCAATATGAGTAGTTCACTTCAAATACAATTACTTGACGACTTCACAAAGGTACGCTTGAAATCTCACCACACACCCATGCCTCCAAACATGGGTGCGACATTGGAGACACTATCCTGTTTTTACAAAAGGCACAAGGCCTCCTCAGCAAGTTTTCTGAGTTTCACCATCGCAAAGCCTCGATACCCTGGGACATGATCACGCTGCGACTTAAAGTGTATGGAAAACACGAATAGGATTTACGGACAGCGCCTTCCCATGCCTTCGGCACTCTAACGCACCTTCGGCACTTAGTCCGAAGAAATTGCCACTCTTCTCTTTGTCTCGAGAATGCGACCAATGCTAGAGTACGACTCACCCGCATACTGTCCTATCACCCGGGTCGAGGTGGAAAGGATTGAACGGGTACAGCGTGTTGTCTGCGGGAGTGCGCCCCAATTTACGAGACGCGCCGTGTGAAGACCGGTGTAGGAGACTCTGGCTTTGCACTCTATTGTATTGTCGAATTCGGGTTGATATTAGGTTGACACACTGGATACCACATCACGGTGCTTACCCCATGTCG